TTTATTCCTTTCTTTCTTCCTTTCTTTCTTTTTTTGTATACATTTATTTTGTTTTCCAAGTTTTCTTCATCTTCTCTTTCATTTCAAGTTCCTTTCCCTTTAAATTTTTGATTTTATTCTTTTCTCGCTCCTTCTGTGAGTTTCTAAAAGTCGTATATTACTTCATTCCAAAATAAGAATTTCAGTTTTGTATACCCTTTTCCCGTTTGCCTCAATACACTGCTTGGGCTGCCTGTGGATGACGTCACACTTTTTTACTCCTAAGGAGCTCTGGGAGGATCACCCACTGAATAATAATGCTCGTCTGGTCTGTAAAGTCGTGCAGATCTTTAGTTAGATCACGTTTAGTTAAAGAACGAAGTTTCTTGCTAGGTTGCTTTCAAACCATAGTTCGTGGATCTCCAGTTTGTAGCAACAAAATTGCAGCTGAAGTCTTCCAGGTACGTACAGGCTGTAGCATAGTTACCTGTGCGTGGAGAAAGAACTCCAAGTTATGTTTACCACGTAAGATATTTTCTCGTACATAGTCTAGATGATAAAAATTCACGTACAYTGGACGTGTTAGGCCCTTAGGAAAAAAGTCAAAGCTTAAGTCAAAGTAAAGGGTTTTTGTGWTTCTCCTCTAATTGATGGTTTTCAACCACTCCCACGAGAATTAAATAATAAAAAACACGGCGGCCATGTTGGAGAATATAACAAAAGAATTCATTGACAATTCTTTTGTTAAATTCCTCCAGCATGRCCGACATGAAACCATCAATTAAAATATAAAGAAAAGGTTTTACATGCATGTATAAGGGGTTGATTTTTGTATTTCTAAAATTATAGTTTGCTGCTGTACAGACCTATGGATTTTATACATTTTCATAGCTTGGTTGGCTGTATTATAGCAGCTTAAACAAAAAAAATACAATAGGACGTTAGCATGATGGCGTCATTTGACTCCCACTACCATAATTCTTTGCAAATTTTCTTTCTTCAAATTTGTATTCAAATTTGTATTCAAATTTGTATTCAAATTTCCTTCATTAGAATAGTAAGACAATTGGTGCTAATTAACTGAACAAAAGAAAGTGTGCAAGGGAGTCTGGTAGCTAGTAGAGGTCATGCAAACATCCTATTAACTTATAATAATAACCTTATATTTGATATGTTCACAAAGGCTAGAGACATGTCTACAAGTAAAACACTAATCCCTGCTCAAAGAGTGGCCGAAAAACCRTTAAATATCTGGTAAGGGTTTATATCTATATGTATATTAGGCTTTCAAGGTTGGGGGGGGGGGGGGCAGAAATGGTCAAGATTGGGGTCAGAGTTCTTGTATGGGGAAAACCAAACTAGTGTTACTACTCCCATCCCAACAAAAAATGAATAGTCCCTAAAAATAACCATCTTACAACGAAATAAATTGTGTTTTATACAAGYATTTGAAGAAAAGGGTAATGGAGGTTTTGTTGCATGTTGCAAACCAAGCCTGAATTTCACTATGGGTGGTGTGAAAACCATCAGCGGAAGGTCACAACGATATAAAATTTTCCTAAACATTGCCTGCACATTTTTTGAAAGCATAATTCCTTCTTGCTAACATTTACGTATGAATATAATRCATGTACATGTAGAAAGCATGCAGCAAATAAAATGCAGCATGCAACATGAAACAAAACCTTCATCTACATTGTTGAAATAGCTGTATRACATGACAAGTGACAAGTTTTTAAACTCTAGATGTATATATATTAAGCTTTAATCCTTTTATCTAAACTACAAAGGCAAGAATTGACTGATCTTGCAAGAATTCATGGCAAGGTTAACCTTGGACAGGGAATGCCTGACTTTAATCCTCCACACTATGTAAATGATGCCTTGTCTCAAGCTGCTCAAAGTGCAGATGTACCAATGCAGCAATATTCTCGTGGTCAGGTAATGTTTCTAAGAAAGTATGATGTCCTTTACAGCTGTTTTTAAAACTCTTTTACTAAGGAGTTAGATGAGAATAGGTTAATAACATAACAAGGAGTTAGAGATGTAAGATATAATGAATAGATTTAGATTGGGAAAATGAACTCAGCTAATCAAAGTTGACTGTTTTGTTAGATGAGAATAGGTTGATAACATAACAAGGAGTTAGAGATGTAAGATATAATGAATAGATTTAGATTGGGAAAATGAACTCAGCTAATCAAAGTTGACTGTTTTGTTAGATGAGAATAGGTTAATAACATAACAAGGAGTTAGAGATGTAAGATTGAAGAAATAGAAAACGCGCGCGCGTGCTGTGTGCTGTCATAAAGCACGGGGGGTTGGCAGAACACGAGAGAAGTGTTAGGAGAAGCACGACGTGTAGCGGAGCGCTTCTTGACACTTCTCGAGTGTTCTKTCAACCCCCAAGTGCTTTATGACTGCACACAGCACAGCAAGCAAGTTTYTTTATTTCTTCTATAAAATACGAATTACAATAATAGATAGGAATGACACAACRGAAAGTGCGCGCAYGTGCAATGTGCTCTCATAAGGCACGCTCTCCAAACCAATCAGAACGYGACATTCATAACAGTTATTTTATAAATAATGATTAGACTTAGATTGGGAGAATGAACTCAGCTAATTAATCAAAGTTGRCTGTCTTGTAAAATGTAAAATACATACTGACATTGTTTTGGCTGCAACATAGGGTAATCTACGGCTTACCAATGCTCTGGCCAGAATGTTCAGCAAGCTTCATGGTCGGGAGATTAATCCAATGACTGAGGTGAGGACTGTAAATCCCATTTGATTAAAAAATAAAACAAAAAATAAAAACTCTTGATCACTTTTCTTACGAAGCCCCCTTAAGCTACGGACACATGGTGCAACATTGCTTGCAATGTTGCATGCAATTGTTGTTGCAAGCCATGACACATGAYGCAATTTATTGCACGCAACATTGCAGTAGTAGAAAACTATCCTACTTCAGCAACATTGCCTGCAATGTTGCTCGGATCGGTTAGCAGCTATGCTAGAGGCCTAGCAAGTCTCATTTTAAAAACAAGGGTAGATAAAAGTTTATCTATCTATCTTATCTACAATGTTGCACTGCGTGTCTGTGCCATTACCTTCACTGTATAATCAAATGCAAGTCGGTTTGTTTGACTAATTCCCTTAATTTTATGAAAGTTCACTTGTGACATTAGTTTATTTTTACCAGGTTGTAGTTACTGTTGGGGCATATGAAGCATTATTTGATTCATTCATGGCTTTCGTTAATCCTGGAGAAGAGGTTAGTATTATTCATTTCCTATTTTATCACTTTTTTAGTAAAAATACACAGGGGATTATTGAAAATCTCGCGTGCTGATTGGTTGAGAAACTCAAAATATCACACGACAATCACCAGAAAAAATGTCTTTTATCTTCTTTTTTTTTTCTTTTTTTTTTTTTTTTTGTTGAAAGAATCCCCTGTGTATTTA